AGACAGGGTTTCACTGCGCAGTCCTGTCCTGGCTGTCTTGGAACTCGGTAGACCAGGCTGGCCTCGAACTCACAGGGATCTGCCTGACTCTGCCTCCCAAGTGCTGGGATTAAAGACGCACTGCCCTGGCTTGGGCTCTCTCTTTGGAAAAAACAAAAACAAGAAACACACACACAAAGCCCTTCTTCACAAAAACAGAAACCAAATATGCAAGAAAAAAAAAACAGTTAAACAAATTCCACAAAGCAATATGAAATAAACATTTTTTAAAAATTATCATTGAGTTTATTTTGTGTTGTCCAGCTACTCCGGGGCTCTTGTTGGTACTGTATCTAGTGAGACACCATTGGAGAAAACTAATTTTTCCTTTGCAAGCATGTATCAAATGTATTGTGTCAGTGAGTTCCTGGTTAGGGGTGCCCCCCCCCCATCTATTGGTTTCTTTGTTACTAGTGAAGTTTGTGTCTACTTCCCTCGTCAGTGCTGGGAGCCTGTCCAGTTTGAACCTGTGCAGGCCCTGTGTGTGCTGCTACAGTCTCTGAGTTCATATTTACATCAGTCCTGTTGTGCCTGGAAGACACTTTTTCCTTGGAGTCATCCATCCCTGTGGGCTCTTCTAATCTTTGCGCTTACTCTTCTGCCTAGATCCCTGAACCCAGGTCAAAAAGTATTTTAAATCAACCATGCTATATAAAGGCTAGAATCTTACATTTTGCTTTAAAATGCTTGTTTTCTCTGGTGTGTGATTCAGGAAGTCTTACGGTTTAACCTTGTCTTCCAGGGATTGCCCACACTTCTGCTGCGGTCGGTTCCGATGGCTGGTAATAAAGGAAGAGGACGTGCTGCCTATACCTTCAATATTGAGGCTGTTGGCTTCAGCCGAGGGGAAAAGTTGCCTGATGTTGTGTTGAAGCCCCCTCCGCTGTTCCCTGTAAGTTCCTGACAGCTCGGTTTTCATAATGTATTTCTGCATGGTTTCGGGGTCTAGGGCTTGAATGCATGGTTCTATCATGATATCCTCATGTCTAAGAATAAAAGGCTGTGTGGCCTCTACCTTGTTCTCAAACAACTGGTTATTCTCAGAACCTGTCTGAGTTTTCAGACTAATTTCTTAAATACAGAGAACAAAATATACCTTTCTACAAGCAACAAGTACTGTGTGAACTAAGAATTATTTGAAATCCTTGTGTCTTCTACTGATGTTATTAATGTATTCTAATTACCAAAATAATATTTTAAGTAGCTTTATGATGTCCCCTGATGTACCCAGTGATTTTCTTCATATTTTGTATTTATAGAAAATAATTTGCTCCTTATTATACCACTTTTTTCTTATTCAAGTTTATTGCTGTTGATTAATTGTTTTGTCTCAGTCACTTCATGTTCAGAAACATTTCCACTACATTAGGGATTGCTTGTAAACTTATGGACATAAGGCTGATGTTTCAATTGAAAACAGTAGCTTACATTTCCGGATGGGTGTATGCTGCTGCTCCAAGCTGATCATGGATCCAAGATCCTCTGAATTAATTCCCTGCATTCACCGTTCCTGTTTCAGATGGAGAAGTCCTTTGTTGAAGGACTTGTGGCCGTAGAGAACCCTGGGCAGATGAATCTTTGTTCTAGACACTCACATAAAGGAATTATACTTTCTAAAAAATTATATATTTTGGATGTTTTGAGATTTTTATGCAGGAATACTGTACTTAAATCATTTTCACCCCTCCAACTCCTCTCATGTCCTCCTCACTCCCTCTTAAACTCACGACCTCTTTTATAATTATTACATGTATATACTTTATATATGCAGTAATTATAACATGTATACCCCCACACGCAGCCTACTGGTCCATTTAGTGTTGCTTGTGTGTGCATGTGTTAGGCCTGAATGTGAGACGTTAGACAACGTCGTGGAGGACTTGTTTTTGGAGAAAACTTTTCCCCTCTCTGCAGCAATTGGTTGACTGTAGCTCTTTATCAGAGCTGGGGGTGGGGCTTTGGAATTCCCCCTCCACCAGGCCACGTCACCTGCTGTTGTCATTATGCAGATCTGTTTTGACAACCATACTTGTGATTTCAGGGATCGACTTCTGATTTCAGGGATCGACTTCTGTGTGTGCAGAAGACACTGTCTCACTTCAGGTGTTCAACTCTCTGCCTCTTGCATCATTCCATGCTTTTGTGATGTCCTCTGAGGCTGGGTGTAGAGGTTGTGGTCTTGATGTACCAAAAGGGCACCCCACAGTCTCTTACGCTGCATTTTGACCAGTTGTGGGTCTTTGTAAGCACCTCTGTGGGCTGCAGAAAGAAGCTTCTGTGAGGAGAGCTGAATTTACCTGTGGGTATAAGGATGATGGTAATTGGAATACAGTTAGGAATTGTATTTGTCTAGGGAACTGGTAGTAGTAGGTTTTCCCTGGGGTCTAGAACCTCTTCGGCCGGGAGTAGCTGGCTGGGTTTGCAGTATCAGGGATGGATCTCCTCCTACTGAGTGGGCCTTACATCCAGGTGATGGCTGTTGATTACCCCCAAGTTAGAAGTGCCGTGATTGCACCATGGGGGTACTTCGCCACTGGGCCAGTCATTGTTGCTCATAGACTTTACGGCTGGGTGGGACTCCTGGCTGCTCTTCTCCTCTGCCAGTTCCTACAGCACCCTCCATCTCCACAGGAGCAAACCCACAGGGAGGGGGCTCCCAGGTGGTGTCTTCAGCACCTTAAAGCCCTGGGAGGCAGTGAAGGGCAGTGGCTGTAGCCTGTGGGAGGCAGTCAGGGGCAGTGGCTGTAGCCTGTGGGAGGCAGTGAGGGGCAGTGGCTGTATGTAGCTTGTGGGAGGCAGTGAGGGGCAGTGGTTATAGCCTGTGGGAGGCAGTGAGGGGCAGTGGCTGTAGCCTGTAGGGGCAGTGAGGGGCAGTGGCTGTTGTTGATGTAACCAACCGTCTTATTAAATAAGAAATACAGAACCAATGTAAAAGAGAAAGCCGAGAGGTCAGAGCTCAGAGCTAAAATCTCACCCTTCCTCCTGCGGTGTCCCAGCTTCCCGAAAAGAGAGCTATTTCCTGTGTGTATGTCTTTTCATAGTCTTTTGTTCTGCCTTCTCATTGGTTGTAAACCCAAACACGTGACTGCCTCGTCACTGTCTGTAAGTACCGCCCCCCCCCAGGTCTTTTTTTTATTTTTTTATTTTTTATTTTTTTAAAGATTTATTTATTTATTATGTATACAGCATGTATGACTGCAGGCCAGAAGAGGGCACCAGATCTCATTACAGATGGTTGTGAGCCACCATGTGGTTGCTGGGAATTGAACTCAGAAACTCGGGAAGAACAGCCAGTGCTCTTAACTTCTGAGCCATCTCTCCAGCCCCCGCCCCCCAGGTCTTAAAGGCATATGTCTCCAATGCTGGCTGTATCCCTGAACACACAGAGATCTACCTAGCTCTTCTACCAAGTGCTGGGATTAAAGGCGTGTGCCACCACCGCCACACTCTTGCTATGGCTCTAATAGCTCTGACCCCCGGGCAACTTTATTAACATACAATCAAAATCACATTTCAGTACAATTAAAATACCACCACAGGCTGTATGTAGCCTGTGGGAGGCAGTGAGGGGCAGTGGCTGTAGCCTGTGGGAGGCAGTGAGGAGCAGTGGCTGTAGCCTATATTGTTTTGGGCGTGTCTTGGACACTCCAACCAGTGACTCAACCCACACCTGACACTGGGGTTTTTTTTAGTCTAGGGCTCTTGTGGGGAGCATTATTACCCTGCATAGTGTAACTCCATTTAAACTATATATATGAGCACACATATATATACGCTTATAAATAATGTTCCTCTGGCTTTTGCACACATCCTTGGTGTCATTTATCTCTCCTTCCTTGCTCTCCCTCTGTAGTACCTTCCTTCTCCTACCTACATCCTCAGGATGTAAGTTCTGTTGCCCAGTACACAGTAGTTGCTCAAGAAATAGTTTTGAATGCCTAAGTAGATTCAGAACCCACCTTTGGAAATATTCTGTATCTGTACCCTCTCCAAACATATGCATCTTTACCATGTATGCTGGGAGCCCACTTTTTTTTTTTTTTTTTAAAGATTTATTTATTTATTATGTATACAGTGAGTGTTCTGTCTGCAGGCCAGAAGAGGGAGCCAGATCTCATTGTAGATGGTTGTGAACTACCATGTGGTTGCTGGGAATTGAACTCAGGACCTCTGGAAGAGCAGTCAGTGCTCTTAACCTCTGAGCCATCTCTCCAGCCCGGGAGCCCACTTCTTAATGAATACACACATATGATCATATATTCATACAGCACATGCATATAAACATCATATGTGTGGAATCTTTTTCCTACCTCTAAAATGAGAGTAAAGAAGGAAATGGGCTAAAAAGTTAGATCATAGAAGTTCAACATCTTTATTATTTTATTTTCTTCAAAATTTTTAGACACAGTTTTACATTGCAGCCCGTGCTGTGCTGGAACTCGCTCTATACCCCAGGATGGCCCTGAGTTGGGAGCCTTGAGTTGGGAGCCACAGCCGCCCAAGCGCTGAGATGACAGGAGCGGGCAGCCTTACCTGTCTGGAAGCTCAGCAGCTTTTGAGCTGATTGTCAAGTTTAGTGCTCATGCAGCATAGTCTTTCCATAAAAGCATCGCTGTCTAGAATGTGGATAAAAGAAATACCCAAATCCTCAATTTATTTAAGCAGGCTTTGTCTCTCAATGTAACTAGGACACAGATTACAAGCCAGTGCCCCTGAAAACAGGAGAAGATGAAGATTACATGCTGGCCCTGAAGCAGGAGCTGAGAGAGACGGTGAAGCGAATGCCTTATTTTATTGAGACCCCTGAAGAGAAACAAGGTGTGTATTGGGCTCTTCGTGAGGCAGCTTGGTGCTAACAGATGAAGCAGGGTATGCAACCAGCTTGAGGAAATTACTTATCAGAAATGTCAAAAAGGACAAACATTCTTATTGTATCTTTTTCTTCCATGAGTTTCTGTAGCATGAATCTTAAAAGTTCTTATTAATAAAATCAAACCTGAGACAGGTATTGGGGTGAACACTGGAAGATCAGAGAACCAGAGCAAGCCACAGCTAACCTCACCTGGCCAACTTCTCAGCTGGTCTTGTTTCCTCAGACTGGATGCTTCTGTGTCCTCATCCCAAATGGCTCTCAGCTGAACTGCTGCTTGAAAGCCTGAAGCTTAACCAGCTAAAAGCTTAACCAGCCAAATGCTGCTAGTTTCTGGTCTTCATGCCTTATATACCTTTCTGCTTTCTACCACCACTCCCTGGGATTAAAGGCTGGCTTTCTGGGATTACAGGCGTGATGAGTCACCAAGTCTGTCTGTATCCTTGAACACACGGATTTCTGCCTCTGGAATGCTACGATTAAAGGCGTGTGCTACCACTGCCTATCCTCTATGTTTAATATTATGGCTGCTCTGTCTCTGACCCCAGATAAGTTTATTAGTGTGCACAATATTTGGGGGAACACAATACCACAAGTTTCTCTTTGCAAACTTACTCATAATACTTTGTGTCTTCCCTTTATAATGCAATAATATATTAGCTTTTTAAAATATTCTTAGTAGTCTTAGAAAATATAACCTTATGGTCATGTTATTCCATTATGTGGACAAAACGTTAATTATCACTAATTTCCTGCTGATGAATAAAGTGTTTTTTCCATTTGTTTCTTAGCTATGCAATGCTGTGATTATTGCCACTGTACACAACTCATAACTTTTTACTGGATGCCTCTGATTACTGACAGTTTAGGCTAAAAATCTTCAAAAACCCTGATTTTCAGTCTATTGCTTATATTCTGATGACATAAAATATAAAGTATGTGTTCACTCTTGATGTTGAGGCAGAGGAAGAATTACACTTTGGGAAGGCTCGGCCGTCTCAGGCTGGAAGGGGAAGTGGTTTCAGAGGAAGTGAGCCTCTCATGAGCAGTTCTTAAGTACAATAAAACGTATTGATTGTTAGAGATCAATATCGTCTTTGAGTTCTTAAAACAGCATCATTAAAACATGAGAACTTCGTATGGTATCCGTTCATGCCATTAGTATTGAAGCTGTTCTTTTTTTTCTTTCTAAGAGACATACATTGGCTGCGTCAAAAAGGAAGTGTATAGATGATGTTATTACATGTGTTTATAACAAGCATGTTGGACAGGTTTAATCTTGATGACTTATCTGCTTGAGTGTATATAATGGTTTGATTAATTTTACCTCAATAATAGAGATTTTTTTTTACTTGATTCTGTTGCATATTTTTGTCTGGATTTAAAAATAAAATAAAATTTTATATATTTTTAAAAAGAACTAATAAATACCTATTTTTATTTTAAAAATCAACCATACATGGTATACTTTAATCCTATTAAAATCTGATTTTTCTTTAGGTAGGAGACTTGTTTAGCTAATGGAATGTGATTAAAATGCATGTCTAACTGAAAAGTATCAGCTCATTCAAGCAGTTGGGTGAGTGTTTTAGGTAGGGCCATTGTTCTAGTTACTGTTCTGTCACTGTGAGGAGACACACCAGGAGCAAGGCAACGTTTATGAGAAAACATTTAATTTTGGGGGGTTTGCTTACAGATTCAGAGAGTTAGGTCATGATCAGTATGGTTTTCCTTTTATGTCGACCAAACTATTACATCAGATATTATTTTTGTGCATTTTGTTATGTTTGTTTGTTTGAAATAGGGTCTCACTATGTATCTCTGATATCCTTGGAACTTACTGTGTTGACCAAGATGGCCTCAAACCCACAGAGCTGTACCTACCTATTCCTTCCAAGTTCTGGAATTAAAGATATGCACCACCATATCTGACTTATATCAGCTTTTAAGAAAACATGAAATGTTTGCAGAAACTTTCATCTTTTTATTTTAACACTCATTGAAAAACATTGAGAATTCAAAATTTTGCTTTCTCCTTGTAATGCCAAAGGAAGAAAAGTTACATAGGAAGATATTTTACAATAATTAGTCATGAGTCAGAAAATAAATGCACAGAGGGGTGGAAGCTCCTTGCCCCCTGATGGTAGGCAAAGTGTATGAGCAAAGTGACTGAGACCCCAGATGACAAGACCTTGGGTAGATTGTCTCAGATATAAAATCAATGAATATACAAATTTAATTCTTAGGAATTAAAAAGAAAGTATGCCTTCCTTATACAGTAAATCTTTGAGAAAGATGTCATCAGAAAATTTATAATAATTTGATATCTTGTTTGCTAAAATACATGTGACCATGTTTTTTTGTTTTGATATTTGTGCACTGAAATTTATCCTTGACGATTGTAAATGGAGATATACTGAAGCCAAAACCAAAGACAGAGACAGTGAGCAAACAGAAGCAGATTATATAGAGTTTTAAAAATTACTGGTCACCCATGCTTGTCATTTTATAAAAGAAAAAAAGAAAAGGAAAAAGAAAAAAGGAGACAATAAAGCCATTCCTATTCAGCAAAAGGAGTCTTAGCTGGGGTCTCATTGTAGATTTGTGCACTAGGTTTCTGCCTGACCCCACAATGCCCCCCATATCAAGACATCTCTTTCAGTACTCCCCTACTTCATCTACTCCTCAACCAGATCCCCACTAGCCACAATTCTACCCAGGAGATCTCTTCTATTTCCCCTTCCTAGGGAAATCTATGAGTCCCCATCCCCCCTTAGGCCCTCATTGCTACCTAGCTTCTCTGGGGCTGTAGATTGTAGCATGGTTATCCTTTACTTTACAGCTAATATCCATTTATGAATGAGTGCATACCATGTTTGTCTTTCTGGGTCTGGGTTATTTCACTCAGGATGATTTGCCTTCAGATTTCTTGATGTCATTGTTCTTAACAGCTGAGTAATACTCCATTATGTAAATAAATATACCACATTTTCTTAATCCATTTTTTGGTTGAGGGGTATCTAGGTTGTTTTTAGATTCTGGCTATTATGAATAAAGCTGCTATGAATATAGTTGAGTAATGTGCTTGTGGCATGATTGAGCATCCTTTGGGAATATACTCAAGAGTGGTACAGCTGGGTCTTGAGGTAGACTGATTCCCAACTTCCTGAGAAACCACCATATCAATTTCCAAAGTGGCTGTACAAGTTTGCACTCCCACCAGCGATTGAGGAGTGTTCCCCTTGCTCTACATCCTCTCCAATATCAGTGTTTTTGATCTTAGTCATTCTGACTAGTGTAAGATTACCATGTCAGAGTTGTGTTAATTTGCATAGTCATTCTATGTGTTAATTTGCATAGTCATTCTGACTAGTGTAAGATTACCATCTCAGAGTTGTGTTAATTTGCATTTCCCCTAGGATGTTGAACATTTCTTTAAATGTATCTCAGCCATTTGAGATTCTTCTACTGAGACTTCTGTTTAGATCTGTACCCCATTTTTTAATTGGATTGTTTAGATTAAATTTTTATACAATATATTTTGATTATGTTTTCCTCTTCCCCAATTCCTCCCAGCTCCTCCACACCTCTCTACCTTCCCAAGTTTGTTCTTTCTCTTTCTGCCTCTCAAAACTCCTTCACAACCAAGAAACCAAACCAAATCAAAACAAAAAAGACAAGAAACAAACAAACAAAAAACTCCCACAAAGACACAAAAAGAAAAATCATAACAAACAGATGAAAGATCAGCAAGACCAAAATGTTAAACAAAACAGTAAGCACACAATGAGTCCATTGAGTCCATTTTGTTTTGGTGAACTACTCCTGGACATGGGGCTTGCCTTGGAGTGTGGTTGATACACCTAGTGAGACTCCACAGGAGAAAACTGACTTCTCCCTTTGCCAGTGGGTAGCAATTACAAACGTTTTCTTGGTTAGGGCTGCGATTCTGTGTCCACTTCCCACCCCATGTGTCTTGAACCTGTGTAGACCCTGTGTGCGCTGCCTCAGTCTCTGTGAGTTTGTATGCACATCAGTCCTGTTCTGTCTGAAAGACATTGTTTGCTTGGAGTCATCCATCACCTCTGGTTCTTCCAATTGTCCTACCCCCTTATTCTTTATCTGAGACTGAGGGGAGGAGTTTGCTGAAGATACCCCATTCAGGACTGAATGCTCCACAGTTTGTGTGTGTGTGTGTGTGTGTGTGTGTGTCCCACTTGTACATTGTCCAGTTATGGGTCTCTGCTAATTTATTGACTTCAAGAAGAGCCTCTCTGATGATGGCAGAGTGAGGCACTGATCTGTGGGGTATAGCAGTATGTCATTACAAGTCATTTATTGCTATCTGAGCCCCTTTGACGGTGAGCTGTGCTTTCAAATGTCTGTGCTTTGGTTCTGTTTTCCTAGTTGTGTTGCTTGTGCAAAGGGCAAGGGTTTTTATCAGGGTTGCCTGGCAAAGCTGACAAATTAGAAGCAAGACACAGCCATGGCTCTGCTGATCCTGGCGCGTTCAGGTGCAATCTGTATGTAGCGCGCATCACCACCTCTGTAGAGCTTTCAATGGTTTGTAGAAGGCGTACAGCTGACACACTGTATTCCCCAAACAGGTAGCCTCTCACCACACTCAGCTTCCCTACCTCTGTCCTCCTTCCCGGTTGTGGAACCTCACAGACTGATTATGTGTAAATGAACTGGTGGAGGTGAGTCATCAGCCCCGCCCCACTAAGGTATCGATGTTCCACAGTTAGACTGAGTTAAAAGATCCAAGGCTGGAGGCTAGTTGCACAAGAACATAGAAAACGCTGAGTAGATCTCTCTACCTTTGTGTGGGCGTGGCTTCCTGACTCGGAACCTTTGTGACTATCCTCCCAGGCTAGGCGGGCCATCTCATGCTGAGACGGGTTCAAGGCTGGTGTTTCTGTTAGTCCATCCTTGCTCTTGCCAAATTTGTAACCGTGTTGCTCCGACTGAGCTTGTCAGCGTTGGTTCCGTTACATATGCTGCACACAAATGTAGGGATATATGAGAATAAAAGACCTTATCTAGGGATTAAGTTATTTTAAAGAATGGCTTATGTTTTGATGTTTCTGATGAGTGCTTTTTTTTTCTTTTTCCCCCCTAGATGATATTGAAAGGTATAGTAAAAGATATATGAAGGTATACAAAGAAGAATGGATTCCAGGTACTATAAATCAGACCATATTGAAGCTCCTTCTTAGTTTTACTTATGTATGTGTTCATGTGTGTCTGTGCCCTGTTTGTGAGGGTGCCATGGAGGCCAGAAGAAGGACTGAGATGCCCTGGAGTTGGTGTCACTGGAGTTATGGGTGGTTGTGAGCTCCCTGGTGTGGCTTGAAAGTGACCTTTTGATGGGAAGCAAGTGCTCTTAACCTCTGAGCCATCTTTCCAGCCCCTTAAAGTACTTCTTAAAGACCACCTTCTCCATCACATACCACAAAAAATATATTAGGTTCTTAGGTGTTTTCTTTGTTTAAACTATAGGAAAGTAGAGTCTTCTTTTCCCTCCTGTAATTAATTAGTAATGAAAATAATTCGGAAACTAAGAAAAGATTTTTATACTGTAACAAAAATGTCTTGGGCCTGGCGGTGGTGGCATATGCCTTCAATCCCAGCACTCGGGAGGCAGAGGCAGGCGGATCTCCATGAGTTCGAGGCCAGCCTGGTCTACAGAGCGAGTTCCAGGAAAGGCTCCAAAGCTACACAGAGAAATGCTTACTCAAAAAAAAAAAAAAAAAAAGTCTAAAAGTGTGTTTTGTAGTTGTTTTATATATGTGTGTGTGTGTGTTTGTTGAGACACCATTTACTCTATATAGTCCATGCTAGCCTAGAACTCCTGATCCTCCGGCCTCAGCTTCCTGAGTGCTTTGACTGTAGTGCTCTACCACACCAGGCCAGCCTTTTAGATTTTAGGCTTTTTGCTCTCTTTTGTTGGCAGGGTCTTGTGTCTCCTAGGCTGACCTTTGACCCTTCTGTGTCCACCACTGGCCTGCTTTATCACACCCAGTCCTATGTGGTGCTGGATGTTGAATTTAGGCTTTCTCCGTGGTATGCGAATACTCTTATCAACTGGGGTTCATCCCCAACCCCGGATTTGAGACTTTCTAAGGAGAAAGTAAATGCCCAACTTAAAGGATATTTTAAACAAACTTGTGAGTCTTTCTGTTATTCAGGGAGACACAGGCAGTAAGATTTAGCTGCTCACGTACTGTTTTAATAGACACATACCCGACAGCTTGTGTTAGCATTCAGAAGTTTTACAACAGGCAGGATGGAGGGGCTTCAGAGGAAGCATCATTCAGCCAGTTTACTTTGTAAACAGTAAACGGTTGCCATGGAAACGGAATAACCATCAGGTCTCCTGAAAGCGGCGCTGTCCGTCAGGCTGTCGTCCTTTTGTACCTCTGACAGCCGTGTTCATAGAAACTGCCCTTCAGAAAATGTGCACACGTCCTCAGCTGCCTCACCACTTTCCCAGGGTGGAGGGCCTGCTCTTCCTGGTTGATCTTAAACGGTGGGATCAGGGTGCAGCCCTCTCCCAGGTCATTCTTTTTATATGCTTTCTCATGATCTAAGTAGTTTGAAACTAAAATATATTCAAAGCAAAATTTATCACTGCGGGTAAAATGATGAACATTTGCACAAATACACTGATATCCCTTTATTAGCAGCCAATATCTTTAAGTCTTTTTTGGATATTTCAAATTTTTTAATTTATGTGTTTGTGTTGTGTGCACATGTGTATGTGTGTGTGTTTACACCACATGTGTATAGGTGCCTTAGGAAGCCAGAAGAGGGCATCAGATCTCCTAGAGCTGGAGTTACGTATGGCTGTAGCCCGCTAGCATGGGAGCTGGAGACTAACAGGAAGTGCTCTTACCACTGAGCCATCTCTTTGGCCCCTTTCAATCTGTATTTACAAACTTCAGTGTCATGTATATCTGTATTATTAAAAATTAAAAATGAGGGTAAGGATTTTAAAATGCTTGCCTAGCATATATGAGGCCCTATGAGGTCCCAAGTTCAATTCCTAGCACCCTCCACAAATTAAAAGAAAGTAAATAATTCAAGGAATTGTTTAGTTAGTACAACTGAAAGTCATTTGAAAGAATTTACATATTCACAACTACTAGTATTTTTAATTGAAAAATTTCAAATAATTATTAAAATAATTTATTTTATATTACATGTATTGGGTTTGATTACATCCCTTAACTTTTGAAAAAAATTGTTACATAATATATATATCTTGACATCCACAAGGAGTTTCCAGATGACTTCTTTCCAAGACACTGTATTGCAACATTTCAAAGCAGTTTGATGAGCTCTCTTTCTTTACAGGAGACACTGTGTTACTGTGGGTTCTGTGTTTGTTTGTTAGGTTCCAGGCTGTACAGTCAGACACTAAGAAATGTTGCAGTCTTTGCATGTGCAGCTGCCATTGTGTTCTGAATTAGGTCCAGAGCCACCAAGGAAACTAAGACGTTTCTACTCTTTCTTTCATATACACAGACTGGAGAAGACTTCCGAGAGAGATGATGCCAAGGAAAAAGTGCAAAAAAGGTATGTTCACTAACTCGAGACTGTCGTCCAGGGTGGAAACGATTACTGCTGAAATTCTGTCAGTGCAGAAGTCAGCCTGAAGTTATCCTCAGCATTGTAGAATCTTTTTCCTGAAGAATGTCTGGCATTTGCATTATTTTACTGGAGCTTGGTTGCTATTGACGTTTTTGAACCTTCTATTGTCTTGAATTAATCTTGTTGACAGTTGTTTTATTTCGTCAGAGAACTGTGACCATTCCTTATCATCATGAAAAAAATTTATAGTTTATAAAAATTTGTTGGTAGCTGGCAGAATCTCCATATGAAATAATGCTCTATTCCCTGCTGTTTTAGAATAACCCGAAAATGAAATATTTGGCTTAGAGTAAACCAATTACAGGTCCTAAAGCTGTTGAAACATTTCCTTTCGCGTATGCGAGGTGGCAAGTAAAGCATTTTGATGTTCCCTGTGAAGACAGGTCTCGAGCCCATCGAGTGCAAGCTCTTTCCTAGCCTTCCACCCTCAGCCAGTGCAGGTTACCCCGTACTTCTGTTCGCTTCCCAGCTGCTAGGCGCTGGCTCCGTTACATGGGCTCCCCTGAGGCGTGATGGAGAAGCCCTGGCAGGACCTCTGCTTGTTATTCTGATGCTTCAGTCTGACATCACCTTATAGTAGATTTTCTCTCTTGTGAGACTGATGTTTCAGTACTTGGTTAACATATACTTGGTTGTAGTCGTTAAAAGTAGCGTGTGAAGTGATTATATTTGTTTCCAGCTCCGTGAGGTGTGGTGATTTTGTGGGAGGAACTTAATTTACGAAATGACGTCGTGGGTGCCTGGTAGGAGGAGAGCTGGGGGACCCAGCTGTTCCTCTGGAATATCGGTTAACAGCTGGTTGTTTCGTTGCAGTGGATCCGAAATCCAAAACAGCCAAAGCTGCAGACAGAGGTCCTTCACTCACTAATTCTGCAGATGTGTTGAAAAAAATTGAGGTAAGGTTATAATTACAAACATGAACTGGGAAAATATCAAAGGTTTCTGAATTCCCCCCAAGTGCCCGCCTTGAGGAGATTTCTATCAGAGTCCAGATCAGATGCTACAATAACTAAGGATTCTAATCTGAGGGATATAAAATGAATCTTAAGCACACTGAGTTCTTTAGTCCATTCACTTTATTCTAAGTCAAGTCTATCCACACATTTTCTTTTCTGTTCTCATCGTTAGCTCCTCTTGGTCCCTCCTGTTCTCAGTCCCTTCTGCTGTTCTCTCATCTCTATCTAGTTCTTTCCATCTGTCCTCATCTTTGTTCTTCTCCATCTACCCTCCCAGTGCTCTCAGAGAACCAGTATATATACTCACACAGTAATTCTTTGGTAAAGCCATGTGAGGCTTGAAGTTTTCAGGGTCACAGAGAGGTGATAAGGATCAACACTTAAAGCAATAAATGTCAGCTTCCAATTACAACCCAAAAGGGGAGTGACTAAAGGGGAGTTCTCTGGTAGGGTCAGCTAAAGGCTAAGATCCGTTAGGGAATCTGGGAATAGCACCTGGCTGAGGAGGAATTAAAACTTAATTTGCATAAGAAAGAAGTTTGGTACCTATCACCTGCCTGGCCTTGACAATCTCCTTGGGTCAGTGGGAAGTAACTGCCTTAACTAAGTAACTAGCAGATGGCTAAAACATCATCTCAGGAATGTGAGCAGTAAATCCACCTTAAATTAGGGTCTTGTGTAAATAACTCCGGGGTGAAGGTAAGGAGTTGAGGATTTAATTGCCAGTGGTTATTTTCTCTACCTGTGGGTGAGATGAGCTAATGTTTATCTATCTGCATTTGTCCTTGGAAAAAGGTATCTTTGCTGAAATACTTTTGTCTGGAGAATGGCCCTGGCCAGATTTATGTAAAATAAGCACAGCTGGGGACAGTTATGCAATTACCCCAAATGTATAAGGGAAAGTTGTGCCCAAGATTGAGCTGCAATCGTGAGATCACATGTACACATAACATGGAGATGCACGGTAAATGGGGAGAATCATGGCTGTTATTGCACAAGAAGTTTACAACTAGAGACAGCCACTTCATTCAAAAGGCAGTAATTCCATAACACCTTGCGAGATGGTTTCCTCTAAAAGAACCCTTAGTTCTGATAGGTTGACCCTCTGAACTCTAGTTGTCACCTGCTGTATACTCCATGGACTCCTGCTACCAGTGGCTCTCAACAAAAGGCCATACTTCTTCCTTTACTTTTCAGCCTTCCCTTTTTAATGAGGAGTTGGCAGGGGAGGGGCCAGCGCTTAAGTTGGGTGTGGAGGAGCGAGCCCCTCAGTGGAGGAGCACATGGCCCTGCCTTTCCATCTCCTGTGCTGCCCTTCCTGTTCTTCTCCCTTTCTAAGCAGCACCCACGATCCCAGGCCTTCTCTTTACTGTATCCGTAACTCCCCCTTGTAGTCCAGTGGGGCATGGGGGAGGGGAGAGATACATGAACCACTGGCATAATTCAGTGGAATTCTTTAGAAAAGTCCTCTTCTCCCTTGGTGGATGCACATGTTCCTCCCCGTTCCCCCAGTGCTTTGTGGCATATATAGAAGACTCTATTGAGGCAAAGCTGGTATTCTGTGGAACTTACTTTTCTAGCATTAAGCAAAGCAAACAAAATTTAGGTTAGTATCTTAAAAATATGTTCTCTCATTCTTGCCCATACTGTTTATTTTCTTTGTTGTTAACTCCAAAAGTACACATTTCTTATATATCCTTTCAGAAATACTTTATGTGTCTGAGTGTTTTGGCTGCACGTATATATGTGCATCACACGAGTGCCTGGTGTCCGTGGACATCAGAAGCAAGGTTAAGATCCCCTGGGACTGGAGTTATGAAACCTGGGTCCTCTGCAAGATCAACAGGGCTCTTAAATGCTGAGCCAAGTACCCAGCCTGAGTTCCCCCTTTTAGTAACAAAGATAGCATGTCACACTTCTGCATTTCTATTTTATTACTTTGTAAAATGTCGTGAACATGGTTCCATATCCGACTCTACAGAGCTCCCTCATTCTTCCTTGGGCAACCCTGTTAGAATGAACCATAGTTATTTAATAACTTCATTAATCCTCTGCTCAAGAATACTGTTTCTTCTAATGTTTTGCTATTATAAGTAATGCTGTGACTTTATAATAAGTATGTCATTTCACATGAGTAGAGTAGTTTTTAGAAGTAGAACTGTTGGGCCAATTATTTTATGTATTGTATAAAACAGTTGATGATCGCCGGCCGCATTGATCTCCATATACCGTGTACTCCCTTGTATTTGCCTTGATGATGATAATTAAGCAACACTTACTGAGAACTTGTAGGTGCCAGGCAATTGGATGAGCTCTTTATGTACACTCTGTCCTGCAGAGCATGTACGTAGCCGACAGGTAGGTTGTCTTATTCCTTACAGGAGAAAGTCGATGGTTTCACGTATGCTCCTGCTGACCTCTTTGGCACATCTACTGGATGGAAAGCTGCTAGTTTTACTCTTTTAGTTTTTGTACAGTAGTTGAGCTGGATGATACTATGTCTAAAATATAATATCTGGAAGATCAATGAAGGAATAGTAATAACTGTCGGGTTAAATGAGGTGAAATTTATAGACCACAAACCCTGCCTGTCCGTAATGTTTGGAGTTCTAAAAGATGCACGTAAAGTGCTGCATGTGGTTTCTCCTCAGGACAAACTGCTTCCTTGTTGCTTACATTTACCACCTCTTCCAGAACATTCTAAACAGAGATCTTAG